CTGCAACAGGAGAGCTGGGAGATCATTTTATATCTAGTTCTGCAAAAGGCTAAAAATAAGCCTGATGTGAGGCAGAAGAAAGAGCCTGAAAATGGATTATTCTCATTTTTCCTGTAATGCAATTTGCAGCTGTGCTGTGTTTAAGACAGCAGAAGAGGTGTCTGGACTAGGGATGGTTCTTTTTGTGGCTTGTGCTTTCTCCTCTGTAAAGAATATTTTCCTCCTAGTGTTTGTAGCCACCACTTTTAAAATGACCCATCCATCAGCACTGCTGCCCAGCAAGAGCTGCCACACCTGATCCAAGGCGTTAAGAGTAAAACTGTTTCCTTATTAAACGTTTAATTTTAATTTTACGAGAAAAGAAAAACCTGCTGGAGCTGCCTAAATAACCTGATTCTTGTCATGTAAACAAATGGGTGAAGGATTCAGGCTTGCAGGGCTCTCAGGTGCTGAGTGGTCGATGGTTTAAGACTGTAAATTCCTCTGTCCTGACCAGCTGCATCGGTGCAGTTGTTTTTCCCTGCTCTGGCAGGGACACACACTGCAGTTGCATCCTGCTGCCTGATCTGCATTGCTGTATCCTCAGAGAAGACACCCAGGATTGCAGAGGGGGACTGAGCAATTAGCAAACCTGGACATCCATCCAGAGCATCTTTTCGTACCTCTGGAAAAAACACCCAGAAAAATCTCATGTTTCCGGGTATAAAACCAGGGATTAAGTAAAAAAATATTGAAAATAATAATAAAAAAAAAATTTAAAAATCCTCAGGGGAGTAGATTATGCTGCACCTGCACGAGGTGTTTCTCAGGAAGAATCCAGGTGAGCTTGGTTTTCCTCAGGAGCAGCTGGAATGACCTGTGGTTGGGGACAGGATCCCTGGCCAGCACAGCTCCTGGGGTGAACACTCATTGCCAGGAAAGGATCCTGACACACACCAATTACAGTGATTTATATCCCTGGCACCAGAAGTTGTCACAGCTTGGGAAAAGGACTTTTTAAAATTCCTTTTCATAACAAAAGGAGCACACTGTTCCCTGTCACTGGTGAAGCTCCCAGGAAGTCCCAGTGTGGGCATTTCTCCTGCAGCTCTCCAAGGTGTAGCTCTGTTTTTCCCAGTTGTCTGCACTGTGAGTGAGGAAGGGGACACACACAAACCACAGACACAATTCTCAGCACTGCTGAGCTTCTAATTCCACTGAATGAAGCACCTGGAGTGCTCCCAGCCTTGGAAGCTGCTCTGTGCCAGGGCTGAACAGGTACCTGTGCTCAGGGATAAAAGTGCAGTTATCAGATTTCTGATCCATTTCTGAGGGCTCTGCCACGGCAAGACTGGACATATCATCTTCCTAAAATCTACCTTGGGCCTCACCAATTTTCCTTAAGCAAGTAAGAAAAATCCAGTACAGAGTGCAGTCATGTTTGGAAATAAAATACAACTGCTTTAACCCTCCTCTGCAGAGGTACAGAGCGGGCAAGGAACGAGTCAAGTGAAATCACAGCAGGAATTGTGTTTGAGTGGTTTGAAAAAAGAGTTGAAGTATTTATCACTACTAGTGCCTAAGAGCTCTTACAGAACCCATTCTTAACAGTTTTCCCTCTCTTATCACTTTGGAAGGGTGGGATTAAATTTGTGTTATAAAAAATGCCCCCGAAATGATTGGATTAAAGCACAGTGATGTACTCTGTCCTGTTCTCTGCTAGTCCTACATTTACTAAAAGCCTCTTTAAGCTGTCAGACTTCTGAAGCAGCATGACAATAGTTATAAAAGAATTGTGTTATAAAAAAAAAAAAAAGGAATTGCTGTAGAAAGCAATTTTTTTTCATGAGTGTTTTTGTGAGAGGGGCAGCCTTGTTGACTGGAATTCCTGTGCTAAAAAAGTCATCTACAAAATATGCCAGGAATTGTGGCAATGATAAAAGTAGTGTGAAAGCCTGGAAACTCTGTTTTTGAAAGGAAGTGTGGTGGAAGCTGGAGGAAGCTTTACAGGAAAGAGAGGTTGCTATCCTGGTATCTGCCCTGCCCGGAAGGAGAAATTATCTCTAAGCAAATGCCCGGAGACCGTTACACAAAGGAACAAACAAACACAGAAATCCCAGCAATAAAACCCTGAACCGGTTTTCACAGAAGTGTGAAAATGGAAGCTCAGTTTCCAGAGGCTGCAGAGAGCAGTGTTCCAGTTCTCTGCCCCCACATCAGCTCGTTAGGGAGGTCGGTGACACTGCCCCTCGTGCCCCGGCCCCGGGGGTGATGGATGGGTTTAATCTCCGGCGCCCGCGATTCCCGCAGGTTAATTGATTTCTTTTGGCAAAGCACCTTTCCAAGACCCGGTGTCTGAGCAGCAGGACTGGCTAGAGAGGGAAAACAAGGCATCTTGAAATAGAAATTCCTCTGTACCCAGCAAGTAATAGGTAGGAGAGGGGGGAGGGCTGGCAGGAAGGTGTGCGATGCCAAGGGCAGATGGCCTGGCAGGGAGGTGGGAGCTGGATGGCGGATTTAGGGTCCAGCACGGAGCTTTCAGCTGCTGACAGCAAAATGCTCTGTTGTCTTTCCTCTCCCATGCAAGCATGGAGCTACCAACAAATAAATCCTGCCCCATAAACACTGAGGAGAACACTGAACCTGTTGGCAATGGCAGCCAGGACCCAGTCCAGCACTGACCCTGCTGCAGGTGAGTCCCCCCACAGTCTCCAGCCTTACTACAGATACTGCCTCACTTCTCAGGAACTTGAATGAAGCTGCTCTTTCCAGGAATCTCTCTGCAGGATGCCAGGGTATTTTTAACATGGGAGTGGGCACATCCCCAGAAGCAGTGCACTAGGAGTCATTTGAGGGAAATTATCTCGTTAACCACTATTTATGACAGTTGTTCTCCCTGGTTTGTAGCATGTAAGATCTGTGGCTGAATAATACAAAATTCATAAACAAATGTGAGTCAGACTGATAAGGAAAGGGAAAGATGCTGAAGAAGAGAGAGCAACAAAGCCAGGTCTGACACCTGCACATGTTTCTTCAGAGAGTGGAGCAGTGGCTGTTTGGGAGGTTGGTGGGCTCTGGACATGAACGGAGCACAACCAGAGCTGCTCAGGGTAGACAGCAACAGAGAAACAAACCCTTCTGTGCAGGAGCAAGCAGAGCTGTGGGGTGTGATCTCCCTCCCAACAGTAACACTGCTGCAAAGTTGGGGTTTTGGTAAAACACTTCTGTAAGACACACCAGCACTGGCACCCTCTGAGTGACCAGCCTGTGACCTGCGGTGCCTCCTGAGCAAGACAAAGCTCTCTTCCTTGAGAACTCCACTGGAGTGAGACCAGCTGGCTACCACAGTGCCTTGGCCAGCATAAAGGTCCAAGTGGGCTTGATATGCTGATATAAAGATGGGAGTGACGTGGAATTCATCAGCACCTGAAATCCCGAGCCCCTCCTTCACCACCTGAGGTGCCGTTCGTGCCAAGGGACACGGATCTCCACCACAGTTAAAGGTGGAACGAGCACTCTCCTCTCTGAACACCGTAAAGACAAACATTGAAGCTTTCCTAGGACCAGGTAAGCACCCAGAAACTTATGTTCATCCTGCCTGGACTCACGTGTGCACAAGCACAGGAACAGGGAGGCAGATGGAGAGTCTTCCCATCTTCCCGCCTCATGCCAAGCCAGGAAGGCCTCCAGAAACATGGCACAGCTTTCATGTCTTCTCCAAAGATTCTGCTGTAACATTTACCTCTCTTTTTCTCTTAGGAAGTCCTTCCTAACATCTCATCTCCAGTTTCCCTTCCTGCCATTTAAAGCCCTTTCTCTGCAGATAACAAACCAGGCACACACACGTCACGTCCCCAAAGCCACACTGAGGTTCAGCTCTGCAGGACTTCACCTCCTTACCAGATGAGGTCTTGTTTTTCTGCAATATTTAAACATCTCATTATAGGGGAATGTATATTTTTAAAGGCACCAGGAGGCAGAAAGCTTCTCCTTTCTCTAGGGTTTATGTGTGATAGTAAAAGGAAGGTGGAACTGCTCTTACAGGGCCACAGCACCATCTGTGGCACTGCTTCCAAATCCCTTGCATCCATCTGATATGAAAGTGTGAGCCAGAAAGCATCACCCAAACTGTTCACACACTTATGTCAACCTCCAAACACCTTATTTTGCTCCTAGTTGTACTATGCCTAGAAAGAGTGACATTCCAGGGCCCCTCTCCTTAAGGTACACCAAGGCTCCCGTTCTCCAGCGGGGGAAAGAAAAAGGCAACTTACAGTCAACAGCAGACTAGTCACCTACCCACATATTCAGCATGACATTGCACACAGTAACTCTTATTTTTTGACAATTATGAGAAAGAGACTAACCCCAGAAGTTTGTATGTCATGTGGAAGCGTCTTCTGAATTACTGTAGTTGCCAACCGTGAGTTGATCCGAATCGGTCTCTTTACTGAAAAACAGTAGCTTTTTTTTTACAGGCTGCAGGGAGGGACTGGGAAAGCCTCTTTTGTCACAGCGCCCCTCGAGCACGCAGGACCCCACACACAGCTTTGCTCCCTCCTGGCCTCACGTTCCTGTCTACTGGAGGTGGAGAGCAGGGCACTGGGCACTGGGACGCGGGCGCCACGTTGACCACCGAGCTCTGCGAAGCATCTCCTGCTCCTCACCTCGCAGTCCAACGGCTCCAGCACAGCAGCCCCTCACCATGGGTGGCCTGGGCTGTGACATGCTCAGCCAAGGGTGAAAAGGGGCCTGTGCCCCCCAGTACTGTGCTCCCCTCCAGGCCACACGGCCAACCTCTGAGATCCACCAGAGCAGAAGCGTGTAAAGGATGCCCAGCCAGCATGACCCAAGCCCCTGTGCTTCGTGCAGCCTCATGCACTCTGCTGAGCCCAGGTTCTCCACACAACCCCACATCCTTTACCTGGAAGGACCAAGGCCAGGGAAAGAGTACAAGCACAACGTTCAGGAGAGAAAACAGGCTGTGGTAGCTCCCCATGTGCAATGGTCAGGTTACTCACTGTTGTTCAGCTTTGGCTCGGTCACTGAGGAAGAACAGGGCTGTGGCCAGGAAGAACATCCCTCCCAGGACGACGACGAAGGGGCAGAGCATGAGGGCGTAGCCCAGACTGAGGAACTCCCACACCGGGGACTCCTTTGTGCTTTGTCGTATCAGGTCTGAGATCTAGGAGAGAGGGGCACGAAAATGAGTCACTCAGAGGAAAAAGGGACGTGGTGACAGTGGAGGGAACACGGTGCCCCGAAACAACCGCCGACCGAGCACGTGCCTGAGGTTTGGAAGGGAACAGTGTGTGCAGCAAGAGCTCAGTGTCTCCTGCCCACTCCAGCCTTCCACGCTGGAGCCTGGGCAGCTCGTGCTGGGAGCAGCTTGGCAGGGCTTCTGCTCTCCCTGGTGCTCCTCTGGCCTGATCCATTATTCTTCCCACAGCCCTCTCACGCTCTCCTGGCTGCAGCAGTGGCTGCATCCGGGGGTGTCCAGCCTCTGCTGAGCCCCCCGGGATTGCCAGCAGGGCCACTGAGGGAGTGATCAATCTTCTGCAACTCCTATCAAGTCCTGCTCACTCCCACACCTGACTGTACCTTTGGGCAAGAGGAGGTATTACATTGCATTTCTGTGTACTGAGTGGGAAGGGGGAAATGTCTCCCACGGAACAAAAAAAGGGAGATCCCGTTCGATTTGCAGAAACAGAACTTGAACGTGGGGTTTTGTGCCCATGTCTGGGGTGTGGGGCTCATTCCCTCTTCCAGCCTCCCAAGCTTGAAGTGTCAGTGTGTGCAAGATGTGGCTCTGCCCCAGGCTCAGACACAGGGGCTCACTCACACTAAAGAACCACACACCACCAGATTTATGAGCTAAGGCAACCTGCCCCTTCCAACAGCCAAAAAGCATAACTACTTAGAAGTGAACACAAGTTTGCACCTACACAAAGGAGCTGTGACATGCAATGGCATTATTTACTTCATTATGAAATGCTTTTGCTAAAACACAGCAAAATTTAATGCCTATCTGTAGCTAAAACTATCACATTTTAATATTTACTGTCCAGCAAACAACTTTACTCTCCATAAATCCCACAGGGTGGTAGCAGCAGCTGGGGTGGGTCTCAAAGGCATTGGGCATTTAAATGTCCAGCTCTGTTTTTATCTGTGACCTTTTGTGAAGGCAGAAACACCAGTTTATACCAAAAGACTGCAGGGAATTTGCAACATAAAATCCTACTGCTGTGCACACACGCAAATCAGCTCCAGAAATAGTCAAAGCTTGTGCAGCAACTTCCAAGCTGCCACATTACCAGTGATGGAAAAGGTGGAGCCAGAAACAACCTACGAGCAAGTTCTGACATTCAAGGCTTAAATCTCGACAGTCAAGGGAGAAAATGTCACATGCAGGAGAAATCACCAACTCACAGCCCTGCAGAGACCTGGAAGGTAAATGTGTGTGGGGAGAAGCCTCAGCACAGGCCAAGCACAGCAGAAGGTCACAGAAGGATGATGCTCATGGGGACTCAAACAGGTCACTGAGTGTCTTTTAGCAGGGAGACTCTGGAGCACTGGTGGTCTCTGGATCAACACTAGAGCTCCTTACAGCTCCTCCTGGCTCCCACTGGAGGGATGGAAAGGAGGAGCCTGATGCTGCAGGTGACAGCACTGGAACATGGCTAAGGAAGAGTTCCTGTCCTCTCAAAGAGAACTTTATTCACAGTGTAAAACACACAAAGGAAAACAAGGGTGTTACAAACAAGTCTCATGTGAGAAATGATGGTTACAGCACCCTTAGACTGAAGCCAAGCAACAGTGGCCATTAGTCTGAGAGATTTATTAAAAATCAGCAACAGGACTTGAATGTGAAAAGAAAGCACCCACAGGAAAGTAGCAGAATGTGCTCTGCACCCAGGGGACAGGGACATCAGCTGGTCATTAATTCCCTTTTGTATCCAGACACCTTAATTCCCAACATTTCCCTTACTCTTCATTATGAACCAGAATTTGGCACCGAGTCAGCCTCACTGTCAGGCTGCAATAGCCAGAATCGAGGCTATTCTAAGAAATCTAGACATTCTAAACCACTTTTCATTTTTGGGAATGGATATAATTATTCTCCAAAAGGACTAGACAATAAATCACTTGACAAATTGACATGATAAATCAGCAGCAGAGGATGAAAAACCAGGCATGTGCTCCTGCTTGCTTTCTCTTATGGATGACACAGCATTCTAGGCTAAAACCAGCTTTGAAAATGTAAAGTCTCCAACAAGGAAAACTCCCAATGCAGCTTGTCCCATACTTTTCCTTCTAACACATTATGTTGACCTTCTGTACCAACAAATCATGTTAATATTAAACCTGCTGTACTTTTCATTTTTAACCCAACACATCCTGTAAGTGCACAGTTTAGGAAAAGCCATGTTCCCTCCCATCTAAGGGATAATTCTTCCCATCAGGCCAGCTGGGCTTTCTTATGCAGGTTCCACATAATCCCCTCACCCATGCCTGCAACTCTAGAACTTTACCCGGGCCCACAGAGACATTTTTGCTGTAAACAGTCACTGCTCCCTGTTGTTTTGTTCCACTCAGTTACAAGCCACCTGCTAAGGCTGGAACTTTGGCATCTCCTCTCGAGAGGGCACAGGACATAATTACAGACTTGGGCTCCAAGAATGACACACTGTTTGCCAAATGGTCTGCTCTGTATTGCCAGTTTTGGGCTTTCCAGACTCCTCACCATGACAGCATCCCGAGCTGTCCAAGTGTGATTTGGCAAGAGCCAAATGGAGCATCGTTTTTGGTGTCTTCTCTCCAACATGAGTAACAAACTGCAGGGGTTGGGGCAGGGTCGGTGCCAGAGCTGCAGCTTGGAGTCATGTGTGGGATTCCTTCCTTTGTTCTGCCAGTTGGGGGGTGGCAAAAGCTTCAGAACATTTACCCAAAGTGCAGGGGGGGAAATCAAGCAGTGGGAGTCCTGTTGCTGCTCTGCAGTCTGACACGGGGCTTTGGTGCCAACCTAAGGATGAAAGCTCCCGTCTCCTCCCTCGCCCTGCAGATCTCAGACCAAGAGGAATGACTTTGCCAAATGAACTTCAGCTTGTGGCATCCCTGCAGCAGCACAGGGGTGGTGTGTGCCCAGCCAGCTGGATGGAGTCCAGCTGGACAAAGGGCCCCCTTCCCGGAGGAGGGACAGCGCGGCCGCAGCGGGCACGATCCCAACCCCCAAAGCCCTGGCTGTGCCTCCAGCCGAGGGCAGAAGACACTGCAGGAACAAAGGGAAACTTCACTACTTCCTGGGGAAGCATGTGGGGTGTGTTTTGGAACGTGGGACAGGCCATGGGTGCAGTAGAAGCCGAGGTGGGCTGAGCCCAGGGAAGGCGTTCGGACCCTGTCCTGTCCCTCCTGAACAGGGTGGGGAAATGAACTGATTTATTAATTAGAACTGATTTATTAATTAGATGGTGGAATGGTAGCAACATTCTGCAATCACCATTTCCTTCCCTCCCATTACCAAGCCAATATCTCAACTCCTCTGTAATTGCTTGATTTTTCTGACATTGCCACTTGGGCACAAATCCTGCTACATAAAAGGCTATTTCTGGCACAAGTACCTGATTTTCATGATTACCAGTTTGATACAAGCCAGGTTCTCCCTGGCTGCTCTCTTTAGTACAGTTCCTTAACACAGTATTCCCTGTAGCCCCACAGTGTCACCACAATGGCTTGGGGTGCACCCACTCCCAAGTCAGAGATGCAGGGGAAAGGTTTTTGATTTTTTTTTTTTTTTAAATCTAATATGAATGCAAATGAAGATGAGAAAGCAAAAATAAGGGATTTTATAAAGTAAACAATTTACTGGGCCTGTGGGGGAGCACAAGCATTTATACTGTGCTAAATGGCACGAGAAACACTTTATAATAAGAGGAAGTAAACCTGATTTTTTTAATGATATTTGTTCAGACAACTACAGAAAGGTAAAAGCAATTATGGTCTAAAAGCTATTTCAGTTTTAACCTCGGCATGTTTAGATGTTGAATCGAAAAAAAGGCAAAAAAATTCTGTTAATCTTAATTGCATCCTTTTGAGATTGCAAACAGATTTCATACTCGGCTGGTGACAATATCAATATCCTGCATTAATATGTGGCACCCCAGTTTGCCCCAGAAATACCCACAGCAAGGATCTCTGCACCCATGGCAGGTTCCTGTGGTTATGCCCTTGTTGCCTTCTCAGGATGAGCAGGCTGCATGGAATAGGTGCTGAGAAAGCAGAAGTGCAAAGGCTGCAGCAGATGCAGATCCTCCATCAGGGGTTCTGCTGAGATGCCAACACGTGGACTTGGTACATCTTGGGGGGCAGAGCAACATCTGCCTCCTCTGCAACCCTCTGGAGAGGGTTGTAAATCTATTTTCTTTGTGTCTTTCACTGCCTTTCTCTCCAGGTCTGGTCTGCCCAGGGGTTTTTTAGGTTAACACTGGGCTTCCTCCTGTCCCAGCGGGAGATGCTTCATCCCAGGGGATTGTGGAGGAACTCACGTCTGTAGGGATGGGGGTGCTCAAGCCCACAAAGAAATAGGTTTGTGGCAGAGGACCATGATTTGGGAGCACCTCCTTTAGCAGCATCCCTGTCCCCCACCTCTCCCTGCAGCACAGGCCCCTTCCCTGGCTGTGTGTCCCAGGAGAAGGAAGGAATTCCCTGTGCTGCAGAACTGGGACGCCTCGTTCTGAAAGGTGCTCAGCACCATGAAAACTGTCCCTGCTGGGAACACACAGGGTCCCTGGCAGCTCAGAGGAACAAACCACTTATTTAATGAGGTTTTTAGTGCACAGGAGGAGTGACAGAGCAGATGGGACAGAACCTGAAATACTCGAGTGCAACAATGACCCGCTCTGGATTTCTGGGCTTCTCTCTAATGAGAGACTTTCACATGCACTGAACATTTATCAAAAATACTGAGAACATGCACATCTAACCAAAGTCATGGACATGAGAGGTGCACAGAGCTCTGGAAAAACACCAGAGCAGGCTGTGAACCCTTGGCAAAGAGCGTTTTATAGATGGGAAGTCATTTGGGATTTTAGGGCAGACTTAAATCTTGTCTGTTGCTGAGTCATCAGAAGTGGGAAGCTTGTTAGCTCGTTGCAATGAGAAGATAAATCCCATGAGGACTGGTCTCCA